GGGGCCCGAATTATCTGTTCGCCGCATTCTACGGATTGGCCGAAGATATAAAATGCGGGCCCATTTCGTCCTTATCCAGAACTCGATCTATGGGCCCCATCTTATCAGCAGAGAATGATCCAAACTTATCTTTTACGCACCGATTTTGGATTTTTTTAAAAAAATTTTTATGAAGAAAGAGGTTAATACTTGATGATATCGACTAAAGTGTACTAAAAGAATGTATACTCTCTCTCATAAACGTATACCACACCCCATTTTTTAAAAAATATTTTAAAATAAATTAATTTATGTGCAATTAGGAGAGTAAATTAATAGAATATTTAATAAATAATTTATGAATAGATTTAATTTATATTTATTTATTAAATTTAAAAAATAATCAAAAATAATATTTTAAAATTTGTTGATTAAATAAATAAATTATGAATATATTAAATTCATTCATATTTAATTTTATTTGTAATATCAAAATGAAAAAAATATTTTATAAACATATTTTTTATTCCCTTAAATTTATCTATCAAACTTTTCAAACGACCTTAAAGAATAAACCAACATGTCATATTCATTTACTAACTACATCTAACTATTGTCCACCAAATCATTTTTCTTGACATACAAGCACAGTTAACGGAACCCTTTTCTATTATGGAGTGATGATATTAACGAATAACAATGAGCATGCTTCAAAAATATTAACTTTAAATTATCATAATCATGAATATGACTTGGGATTGGGGAATGCTTCCTTTTAAAAATCTTTGAACTCGTTTTATCATATAAATCCATCATTATTAAATGTTTACCATTATCCTTGTTTTCCCAAGTTCTTTTTCTTTTTTCGAAATGAACATGAATATTTGTTTTAATTGGAAAGGAAAATGACTACAATGGATAATTATGGGATATTGAGAATAAGATGTAATCACTTTTCCTTTTCTTGTCAAAATAAGAGGCCTCGATTCGAAATTAAAAATTCATATCTTTTTTTAAAAAATCTTTTTAGCCACTAGATAGAAAAAGGAGAGGATAAAATGTAATCACTTCGATTGTTAAGATATGATACCTTTGATTTTTATATGAATTTTTGTATCATTCCTCTTGATAAATATCTTAAAAAATAATAATAATAAAAATAATAATACTTAAAAATTAAAAATATAAAAATATTTATCAATCGAAATCTTAAATGTTACTGTATATAAAATGAGTATTTCTTATATAATGCTCTTGTTTTTAAGGTGCGAAAGTGTATGCTACACATTAAAAGAATTGTGTCTTTTTTCATCTCATAGTTTAGTCTTTTTCCTTTTTTTTTATCATAAAATTTAAAATTTTTTTTAAAAAAATTATATCTATAATTTGAAGTACCAACGAATTAAGTTGATACAATAAAAAGTTCAAATTCGATTAGAAATTTATTGTTTAAAATTTAGTTTAAGCTTGATCGAATTTTAATTTTTAAATTTAAGATCGACTCAAAATAAAAATTGATTAACTCAAACTTATTCGTTTACTGAATAAAAAGTAAGCTCGATTTACATTCTCGATTTTAAATTTAATTATTTATATTTAAATTCAAATTTGAGTTTAAATTAATATATATAAAAATAAAATAATAAATTTTAATAAAAATAATAAAAATATATATTATAATATAAAAACTTAAATAAATTCATGAATTACTTGAATTAAATATTAAAATACTTAAATTTGACTCGTTTTAAAAATTAAATAATTCAAATTTAATTCAATAATGATTGATTTAAATTTAAATTTTATCAAAATCAAATCAAAATAATTTATAAATATTAATATATTATTTACGCATTTAATAATAGCCAAATACCACAAAAAATTTTGTCATGCTCTTATAATTAGATTCTAGGGGTGCGCTCATTAATGTTGGTGTGATTAGCCCTAGTTATTTATCTGCGGGATCTAATAACTATGCAACTTATCCATTTTTTTTTGTCCATTACTTCCAAAAAAAAACATATTTTTGTCCTTTTTCCTATAAAAAATTAGCTTTTTAACCTCTTTCTTTTTTTCTTTTTTCTAAAGAATGTTACTGATTTATATATATAATAATTAAAATATGATACTAATATTAATTTAAAGAAAATGTTGATCAATATCCAATAGCACTGATTAAGATGATATCTAAAATGAAATTGGTAATTCATGCGTTATCTTCGTATCTTCCTTTAAATTTGATGTAATCAATTCATTAAATGTAAACTTAAAAAAAAAAAGTTTTTTTGGTTCTTTAGAAAGTGACTATTATTTATAAAAAATCCAATGTTTTAGAAATTGAGACTTAATTTCATATAATTATATTTAAAAGATAATATTTATTAAATTTAAATTTTAAATTTTAATATTTACAATTTATTTTCTCATACTTTGTAAAAAAAATCCAATATCTCAATTAGTATTTGAGACGATGAACGCCCAAGAAAAAGAAAAAGACTGAGAATAATCCTTTTGTCATGAAAAGGTTAAAATTGTTACGCGCCCCCTCTGGGTATTTTTTTCTTATTTTTAGCAAAATATTGATAAGCTCTGGCCGTATCTCTGTCGTTTTGACTTTGTCCATTTAAATATAAATATATAAATACATTATTTTTTTTTGGGAATGGATAGAATTCTTTTATACTATGGTATAGAAATGACTGATGGATGGGGCAAGCATGGTCGGTGCTAAATTGGGATGAGTAAATGATTGACGCATGATATGTGATGTAGCAATATTCTCTATTTTTTTTATATACCAAAAAAAGTTTGATCTACTCTTCAGAGATAACTCTCTCTCTCTCTCTCTCTCTCTCTCTCTTTAAAAATTTTTTTTTGCACGTCTAGTTGATTGTGAAGCCCATATGCAACGAATGATTAAATATGGAACTAGATGGATGCATTAGTTCTTATCCCTTACAAGGATTTTTAGACTTTATAAATAGGATGATATATTAAAAAAATAAAACATGTATTAATTTTTTAAAATTATATAATACATAAAACATGAAATTATTTATATAATATTTGATTTAGTTTTTTTAAAAAAATTTATAATCTATTTGATATACAAAAGTAGAATAATATAAAATTATAAATAAAATTAGATTTTATGATATCATTTTATCTTATATTTGGTGTCTATAAGAATTAAGAGTATAAAAGGATAATTTTTATCTTCCAATAAGTTTATTATGTGTAAGATTAAGAGTAGAAAAAAACAATTTTTTTAATTAAAATTATTCTTTTTTAAAATAAAAATAATTTAAATTTATAGTTTTTTATATAAATTTAATTCAAATTTTTTTAACAAAAAATATATATTCTATTATATTTTCTATAAATAAGAGTTAAATTTTTTTAAAAATTTATCTTTTAATTAAAAATTAAATTTATTTTTCATTACAAGTATTTTTTCACTATTTTTCCTGTTATTTCATTTGTTTTCTTTCTTTTTATAACTTAAATTTAAAATAATTTATATGATTAAGAGCTAAAATTATTATTTTTAAAAATGATTTTTCCAAAAAAAAAGAAAAAAATTTATGAAAAATATAATTTTATCTATTTTTTATTTTTCTTTATTTTTCTTTTATTCTCCCTTTGGACAAGAGGAAAAGGAATAAAAAAAAGAAAAAAGAAAAAAAAAAGAGAAAAAAAAAGAAATGATAAAAAACTAAAAGAGAGTAGTTAGATGCAAAGATAAAAAATATCTCTGTTTATTAGATATGATGATACCTAAATGTCTATATTTATAAGTAAAAGGTGAAAAGCTAATGAGAAACAATAATAATATAATCAAACTGATGTGATACTGAATTTATTAGGTCGACTTGACATATCATATCAACATAAATATCTTAAATATTTGAAATATCCTTATCTACCAAGGACCCCTAATTAAAAAAAAAAAAATAGTTATACCATTTGGACCACTAATTAGCCCCCGACAACAAGTATACTCAATGCACTTACTAATAAATCATACACTTATATTTGAATTTGAATTTAGATTTGTATTTTTTTTCTTGTTCACAAGTTAGTTAGTTTTGTGATTTTGAGTGTTTTTTTTTTTTTTTTTTTTGGCTATTTGCAAACAGACAAAGTTTGACCTCAGAGAAAAGAGTTTTTAAAATTTCTCGTATATTGGATATAAAAAAAATTGAACAGGAGGAAAGTGGCGTGCTTCCTTTCTTTCCATTCCAACTACCAAGTTATTGCGGGCCTTATGCGGGCTTAGGGCCTGATTGGAAATTAGCTTCGTTATCGTTTGTCTCACGTAATGCTGCCTAATCCTAATTGAATGGACCCAAACACTGTCGTAATCTAGCCCAATCTATTTATATCTTTGTGCGATATTGAATTCAATAGTATTTGAAAAAATTGAGTGGGCTGGGCTGAATGAAATTTATTGCCTTTGTTGCAACTGCTCAAAATGCCTAGTATTGCTCTGACCTCCACACACTATGAAAGGCAGGTACGGTTGAACTCAACTAACAACTCTTATCGCACTATAAGTGCATGGAATGAAATCAGACACAAACACGGGAAGGTCGACTGGCATAGAATTATTTGGTTTTAAATATCATATCCCTAAATATGTTCTTATTTTATGGATGGCTATTGTAGACAAACTGCCCGCCAAACAAAGACTACGCAGATGGGGCATCCGTACTTGCCTCAACTGCTTGTTTTGTCAGCAGGAAGCAGAATCCAAAGGTAATATATTCTTCACCTGTAAAATTCACTTACTAAATTTGATTACAGGTATTATAGTTGTGTGAGAATAGTAGACAAGTGATCAATTGGCATTTTGAGTTTTCTTGGATCAAAAATACTGCCAAGGGTAAATCACTTTTGGCTAGTAGTATTCTCAAAATTGTTGAGAATGCCTTCATTTATGGAATATGGATGCATAAGAATAAAGGAATATTTGGAAAACAGACAGGTAACTCGTCATCAATCTTGCTATTCATCAAGGATGTGATCCGTTTCATGGAATACAATATCTAGCTGATAATAATTCAATCAATCACTCTCTTTGCAGTAATTGGAACCTTTATGAGTCCATGTTCAATTGATTTATTTTGTTTTCATTATATTTAGAATCATGCCTGTATAAACTTATTCTTTGTTCTATTTTGGATATAATAAAATTACATTCATTTATCCTAAAAAAAATTGCCTTTGTTGCAATATTTCAGAAACAAAGGAAAAACATGTTAACCAAAAGTACTGCTAGATCACTTTTTCTTCCACCATTAACCGTGGTCGCTTTCCATCTACTGCACAGCAATCTAAACATTTACATATACGTTTATACTATTTCTATGTCACTAAAATTAATCATTGTATTGTATCCCATAAAAAAGAAAGATTAAACATGGTATATCATCCCCACCTCCAATGTAGATGCATGGGGAACGCTTAGCGCACTGGTGGGCTGTCGGCTGTTTCTTCTCAAGAATTCATACCCCAAGTTAATTACAAGTTTTTCTATCAGGCTAGATCCTTTCTTGGCTTTAACATATGAGTGCCCTAGTATGTAAGCTATCCCAGCTTCCCTAGCTTCCATTAGTTCCTGTAACTCTTCCCTTGCACCGGAGTCTATCTGCGGGCTCTGCGGTACAAGAAACCGTACTCTTTTTCCTGGTTTAATTATGGGTGGTGAACATATCTCCTTCAACTCTGATGGCTCAGCTGCCTCTGTGTTGTCTGCATCGTCCTCACTCATTTGAATCTGTTCTGTATGGCTAGAACATGTTCCAACAACTGTCATTTTATCGTCATCCTTCAATGGGTCTTCATTAACACTTCCTGAGCGTATAAACTCTGCTATGCTGCAAAAAAGATCTTTTTCAAACTCCATGTCATCTTTATGAACATCACGATACCCGTATCGCACAATGCATCTATAGAGCCTGTACCTCCTAGGGCCAATATGACCCACCAGAAATCGCTCCTCAGGTCTAACATGAGGAACTGGGACAGATTTGATGCAAAGAAAGACTAGGACCTGGTGGAAGGCTGGAAGATTAGTGACAAAGTGGGAGAAGATTGCAGGGATTCCAGATACAAGCTCCGTGTGTACGAGTCCAATCCCACGAACCCGTACTATGCCTAGACTGGGACCCAAGCTAAGTAGCCAGTTGATGGAGACCTTGTTTTGAACATCAAACTCGTACTTTTTCAGTGTGCCGTAGTGCCAAACACACATGATTATCAGGCAGATGAATGCAAGGGCGATTGGAACCCAGGCCCCTTCAAGGAACTTGATGAGGGAGGCTGTGAAGTAGAGTGATTCAATTGTGCCGAAAAAGAAAACAAAGCCTATTGCGAATAACACACTCTTATGCCAGCACAAGACAATGACCAAAGGCATTAGGCAAGTAGTGACCAGCATAACAGTTATAACAGCCAAACCTGTTCCACAAAAAAACAGAGAGTCGAAACTAATTGTAGAAATTTAGACAAAAAGGGGATCCAAGTTCTATCTCATATAAGATTCAGTATACCTTTCCAGGGAAAGATAGAGACATTAAATACGTAACATGGTTTGTAAAATAAAATAATAAATGCTGAGATAAAAGCAACCGGCTCTCCACTGTCTTATGTGCCTCGAATACCAATTATTTTGTGAAAAAACTGTGTAAAATTTTAATTATATCAAACCAAATCATCTTGAATCTCCTGAGATTTAAGTAGAAAATAATCAGTTTCCTTTTCCTCCTTCAGTCTCCTATCTAGGCAATGACATGATGCCGAATCCATGGATATAGCTGCAAACAGAAAACCTCCTTGTCTAGTATGGGTGCACGCAACTATTATCATTTCTTAGCAATTTTGGGATTAGTGGAGTTCGGACAGGGTTTGGACTTTTATCTCTGGCAGTCTGAAAAAGTGATAACAGGTAACTAAATGTCTCTGAACCAAATACACCTCCAACATATTTTTCATACAAAAATAACAATGGATTAGAACTGCCAAGCAGAATATTGGATTGCCAAAACCATCCTTAGGAATAGCTGGTTGCTACCAAATGCAATCTTCAACTTGATACTATTAATATAAAATAGTATATAACATTTTAGCAAGAGCAATCTCCCAGTGAAGCCCAATTTTATGTGGGTCCTAAATAATATCATATGTTTGCCAGTTTCCATGCTGAAAGACATGGTTTAGGCTAGAATATGAAGCTGAGATGCGCAATGCTCCCAAGTCCCCCACGTTATGCAACCAAAAACACATTTATGTTAAGAGTTGTAAGAGCAATACAAGGAAGCATTGTCGTACCTGATGCATTACCCATTCGCCATGTGTCTCTAAAGCCAACAGTAACCGCCAAGCATAATACCATCAGGAGCCAGTTAATCTCTGGAATGTAGATCTGACCATGGATTTTGGATGATGTGTGGACTATTTTGACTCTTGGGAAGCAACCAAGAGAAGAGCACTGTTTGATGATTGAGAATGTTCCAGTTATGATAGCTTGGCTTCCCACTACTGCAGCAAGTATGGCTATAACCAGAACAGGCCATCTTAACTTCTCTGCAGCAATAACATTTGGAGACTTCCAGTTAGCTGAAAACTCACCTATTATCCAAATCTTTTAGAGCCTTCAAGGAGAACAATACATACCTGGTACAGATACATAAAATCCAATTCGGTAATCACTTTCGATAATATGATGCTGAGATAGATAGGCAGCTTGCCCCATGTATGCAAGAATCAAGGATGGATAAACCAAAAAGGTGAAAGCAATCTGCAGATATAGCAACTCCCATTAGATAAAAGCTATTGTTCACAGTATAATTCAATGCTGAATAAGAAAACGCATGCATGCAACTGTCAAAAGAAGTTCTCTTGTGCATCAGTAAACGTTTCCCAAGCCCCAAATTTCACCAAAAAGTATTCAGTTACTAAAAATATTGTAATTTACACTTAAGAATTGTCAGTTGTTGCAAACTAAATAAATTGCATGCATGTGTTTCCTTGAAGATATGTGGTTTTCTCTTAATGGCTAAAACCGGCCAAAACCAGACCACAAGGTAAAAAGGAATTCAGATAGCATTGTCAACTAAAATCATAATTCAGCAGTTCAAACAACTTGCAACAACAAAATTGTTCAAAATTCCATCAGGCACAACAATCAGCTCTTCTCTTGAACACAACTCTAACCATGCCAACTTAGTTTAAAGAAAATATCCTCAACCCTGAATAAGCTTTCAATGATATATACCTGTATTGACAATTGTGAAAAATGTCCAAGATCAGCAAACATAGCTTCTGAGCCTGAAAAATGAAAATGTAAATCAACTTAACAATGAACCTCTTTATTTCAAAATGCCTGCGCAAAAAAACAAATATATTATCTGACACACTCACAGTCACACACGCCTACCTGTTATACACAATAAAATACCACCCAGGGACATCCAACCTCCCCTCTGTGTTTTCCTCAAAAATTTGTACATGTAATATGGAGAGAGTGCTTGATACACATGAGGATTCCAGTGAATGATATTATATAAGCCAATGGCACTGATGCAAAGAAGCCATATTAGAACCACAGGTGCAAACAAAAATCCAACCCTGTGTGTTCCATAATGCTGAAGGGCAAACAAGCCTATCAGTATGATGCATGTGACTGGAACCTCCACGTCTGCAAAAATTGTTGAACCTTTATAAGAGGCTGTATAATGCGAGATGATGACATATAAAAAGAAGAAGATGGTATAACAACTCGTCAATCAAATATGACTCATATGGAAGCCCAGCTCTTGAGTCAAAATACAGTTAGTAATCATGTAAAAACTTCTCCCAAAACCAATTTCCGAAAGCATTTTAAGGTAGCCTTATTTTTAACATTTCTAGATTGAAAAGAGTGATGGTCACCCTTTTACAAATGAAGCATCAAACCTTACAATTTCAGATGTAACATCTTACTTTAAATATAACATTATATCACTTAACAAATGAGACCAAAGCTGAAGCAACAGCATTAGTCATTCTTTTGTTCATAGGATTATAGTAATTGCTTATCTGAAGTGTAATTAATATACTTTGGAAAAAAAAGTTTAGATTAAACATTAGTTGCAGCAACTAAAACCAAACTGCAACGATCATGAGTCCTTGTTCTTTGTCAACTTGAAACCAGAGTCCCAGCAGCCAATGAGTTCAAATTGTACAAGCTGCGAATAAACTGGCTTGTTAAAAAACTTGAATCATTCAATAGGTCATTTCTTTTTGGAACTGTAACTTATGAAGTAAGAGCATGCTAAGAAAGTGGATGCTTATGTTTTACTGTAACAACGGAATATTTACTGGTAAAACTTGCTTAGACATCCGATATTCCAAGGTGGGCCAGTAGTTTGATCTAAACTGAAAGCAGCTTAGGCAAGTAGAAATATCACAAAAAAAATTCAATCTACTTGTTTGAGCAGACTATGCAACCGTACATGCCCCAGTCATATTGATCGATAAGTCCAACTTGGGGTGAAAGGTAAAACCGTGGGCTCCACAACACAGTACTTATTTTAAGGGATGAGGGACCAATATTGGGAACTAAATCTAATTGGTTGGTAGACATAATGTGCCATATCACTAGGTTGTTGAAGAACCCAAGGCCAAGAGTCAAAAAATGGAAACTTGGAAAAGCCTAGACAACCATCCTAAAATTTAAGAATTACTGAAGCAATCAAAAGAAACTAGTCTCATACTATGCTGAAATCCAGAAACTCAATTAACAGGGATTTGTATCATAGCTTATTTATCTAGAAAAAGCACCGGAAAACTTTGCCTGAAAGTAAGCTACTGGAGCAAAAATTTTACTAATGATTTGTCTTCTCTGGTTCTCACCTAGAAGATATTTAGAAACTGCAGTTAAGTGCAGCCTAAGTAAATGTGTCAGGCAGAAGGATCTTACATTTGTGATGCTCTTTTGACATTGAAAGCTCAAGCCCTGACACTGCAGAGAAAACTGCAAGCACAACCCAAACAATCAATCCAGTTAATGACACAATTACCCCAAGAAACCAGGGAAAAAAAGCCCATAATTACCTGAAATAGCTGGTGTGAGGATACCGTCACCAATCACCATACAGGCCCCAATCAAAGCAAGAACGAGCAATAACCTTTGCAACACCCTATTCTTCTCTAAAGTGGATTTCAACCTTGCCCCAAAACTTGATTTTGGTGCCAAACCGATACTATCCTTCTTGTACTCAATCAGCTGTTCATCTGCCAATTGGCAATTAGGCAGTGAGTTGATCCGGGCGTGTCGACACAGCAAAGAATACAAGGCAAAAGTCCCTCCTTCACCGTTATCATCAGCTCTAAGAACTATAAACACATATTTGAGCAAAGGCACCAAAGTAAGAGTCCAGAAAACAAATGACAAAACGCCATAGATTTCTTCATTTGTCTCAGAGTGTTGAATATCTTCAAATGTGCTTTTGTACACATACAAAGGAGAAGTGCTTAAATCCCCATAAACAACTCCAAGGCTTTGGTAAGCCAAAGTCAACACTGTTCTCCATGATTCCTTCTACAACAACATAAAAGAACAAACAACAATCCAATTAGAATCCTGAAATCAATGTCACTCTTTTGAATCCTGGAATGATTTTTCTTTTTTGATCATTCAGTATTTGCTTTGAAAGCTTATAACTTTATAAAAAAATTTACAGAATTGGTTTTGCTGTAAAAAATGGGGAATTAAGAAAAATGTGCGAAACAAAGCCATCTCACCTTAACATGGTTTTGGTAAACACCAGTCTTCAGATCCATGACTGAAGAGATTCAAGGAATGCCCATTTGCTAGAAGAGCCTCCCCAAGTACATACACACAAAGATACAGACAGACAGTCAAAAACTTTATTAAAATAATAGTAATATTAAGACTAAAGCTTTCTTCTTTTATAGTGACAGAATTGGACGTATGTAGACAGCAGTTGAACAACCATCAATGGAGCAGCAGCAAGAACAAATAACCCAAAAACCCAGAAGTGAATAACAAGTATATAGTAAGTAATAGTAGAGCTTGCAGTGACAAAGAAAACATGAAAAACAAGGATAATTGGAATGATTTCTCTTGCGTGGAGGCTTTAATTGGAGAGAGAAAGCAAAGATTGGTTTTAATTTTGGAGAGAGAGACAGAGAAGGAGAGCTTGTTATGTGTTCTGCAGTTGGTGAGGGGAGGTCTTGGATGTTGTTGAAATGGTGCACTGGAAATGCTTTATTTATGATTTTTTATGTTGAACGCTTGTTATTTTTGAAACTGACTGTGGTGACTTGCGAGGGACAGAAAACTGAAAATGAGTGGTAAGGGTTGGACAGTTAAAGTCTGAACTGAAAACTACTTTTAACACTTTGTCTTTCCTTCTCTTTAAATTAAAAAATAAAAAATAAAAAACTTATCCGAAAATATTAGCTCTGACAAAATTCATATTAATATTTGCTGCTCGTCCTGAAATATTTTTTATATATTGAATTTTATAAAATTTTAAAAAATAAATTTTAATTTTAATATATTAAAAAAATTTTATATAATTAAAATTTTATAATTTTTAATATCAAAAAATAAAAAAATAAAATATGAAAAAGAACAGTTTTAATTGTTTTAAAAAATAAGACATAATTTTAAAATATAAAAAAAAACAGACATAATTATGAAAGAAGAGTTAATTCATCGTAATTGTAATATCTAATGAAATCTTATATTTTGAAAATATTGCAACCTCTACAACAAAAATCAACCTAATCTCTATGAATTAAAAGATAGTAACAACTTGCCCTGAAGGCTCTAATGAAAAGATGGTAAGAGATCCAAAGCATGGAAAGACTTTAATATTTGGCAAGCAAAAGATCTAAAAGAATAATTATAAAAAAATGAATTGGAGGGCTTACCAAAGAAAAAAACAAAGGAGGGTATTGAAATTGTGGTTGTGATAATAATAAGAGGAAAGAATAAAGTAAAAGGAAAGGCGGATTGATAAGAGCGATGTCCGTTCATATAATTAAAGCTTTATATAAAGTGAAAACAATAGAGAGAAAAGCAGCTATCAGGGTGTGGGCCGACAGATTATTTGTCAAACATATGCTTTGGATTTCCATCTACTTGACTCCCATACCTATTCTTTGTTTTTTTTTTTAATCTCTTTACTGTAATGGAATCTTGAATGGAAAATAATTCGAACTTGGGTATTGGAAAAGTTTTAATTGTTTTTAAAATAATTTAAAATTTAATTTAATTAATTTATATAATTATTTTAAAAAAATAATATTAAATAAATTTAAGATTTAAATCGTATGACTATTTTTTTTTCAGAACTTTTATAAAAAAAATATATCTTTCATTTTATTAGTATTTTGTTGATTAAAAGCTGATATCTTTTCATTATTGCCTTAATAAAACCAAAATTAACTGTGTGCAATTGCTAATCAATTGATTTATCTATGTGTCCCAAGACAAGAAGGAATTAAGTGGAGATGATTGTTCAAGAAATTGTTAGTCTTTTTTTTTTTTTTTTTGGAAAGGAAAAATTCAAATGTATTTTAAAAATGTGCATAAATCAAAATCCGTACCCAACAATCTTAAATTTTCATTCAGATGTTTCCAAAGAAAGAGGGCCTACTCCATTGTATCCTTATATATAATTTGATTTTTCTACTAGACCAAATTTGTCCACTTATATAGTTTGATGAATTCCAAAAAATATATAATTTAAAGTTTGAGTATTCTACTTGAACATGTATTCTATACTTTATCGTGCCACTTTCAGTCAATTTGTCAAATTTTGGAGTGGACAAGGAATGCTTCAAACCCTAGCGGAAGCTAAAGTCAATAACATGATATGAAGATTGTCATTCATTGTTTACATAGTCAACATAATATTTTTTGCATTTTATAATTCTTTCTATTATTTTTAAATGTCACTTAACTATTTAATTTGCTAGATAAATTTGTTAAGATCCAATTTTGAGCAACCTTTTTTGGGTTTTTTTTTAAACTTTTTTTTTTTGTTTTAAGATTTTACTAGAAAATAAGATGAAATATGCATAGATGAAATTTTATATATTTTTTTTTATACAAAAGAAGATATAAAAATATTGAAACACTATAGTAAATGTGATTTTTAATGTTGTAAATAGTTTTATAACTAAAAATATTTGCAACAATTTTTAGACATAGTTTTGTTGAGATTAGTAGTTTACAACATCGGACCAACATAGAACTTTGATTTTTATGTTGTAAAAACTAAGGTGCAAATTGCTGCGAGGAATAATTTTGTAAATATTTTTGTTATGAACTATAACTTGTACTTGTTTATCGTAACGCAGCATTATTTATGCTGTAAAAGAGATATATTTTTCCATATCCATAATATTAAAGTTGCAGAAATTGGAGGCAGGTGGGGTGTCTATATAACACCATTACCTTCTTTCATTCTCTATTTTTTATTTTTTATTTTATTAATTTATTTTTTAAAAAATTTTATTTATTTTTATTAAATAAATTTTATAAAAAAATTAATGGAGGTAGGATGATAAAATAATACATATTCTATTAGTTTTGATTTACATCAAGCTAATATAAGTGTAATTTCAATTTCATTCTTTTAAAATTATATTTATTTTTCTTTTTAAAAAAAATTATTTAACAATTGATTTAGTTATACTTTTTTAATTTAATTTTAAATTATAAAAAAAGAAAATTCCTATGCCATTGAAAGATTGTATACTCAGTGACTTTAACATTAATTTGAAAGTGTTATTCTTAAAATTTTTAATGCTATCATAGTAATATTTTTGTTGTACAATTTATATGCTTGATTATTTTTTATTAGTATATATGTGATAAAATTTTTACAAAAAAAGATAGAAAGATAAAGTATAGTATAATTGGCCCTTCAAAAATATGTCAAGATCCATCACTGTCTATTGTATTATTATATTTTAATGATCTTGTCAGCAACATTCTAGTTACTAAACTATCAGTATCTACATATGACTATTCACATCATCAGTATTTATAGATGATTATTTATGTTATCATTCATGAGATATAGTCATAACATATAAATCTGTAAATTTATAGTTAGATAACAAGATGAGTCACCATCAGTTTTTTATTAAGGTGTGATTGGCCACCTAATGAATCTATATTCTTAAATATATCTTAGGCTTGATTAAGGATCCCTAAAAGAATAGATTATGATATGTATTTCAGAACTAAGTTTGAAAGTTCAGTTACGTATGAGAAATGTTATAGCACCCTTATAATACTTGTCTTAAGATGATACCATTTAATTTTAAATTATCCTAAGATCTTAATTTTAATAGTCTTAAATTTAATATTGAAAATAATTCTTAAAATTTCTCCATTAATCTAGCAGAATTCATAAAAATACTTAATCACCTCAAGATTATTTAAGAATCCCATTTGTTTTTTTGAAGAGGGTTCGTCGTCGAAAAGCTTAATCAATTTTTTATTTTTTATTTTCTCTTTGTCTAATTTTTCCACCATTTGGATCAAAATTAAAAAGAATTTTTTACTTAGAAATTTCTTAGTAATCATCCATTTGCAACTACTAAAAATTTCATTCTCGAAATTTATTTTTTATTTTTATTTTTATTTCTAAACTTTTTACTATTTGAGTCTATTTAAAAAATTTTCCTACAAGTTTCATAATCTTTGCAAAGAAAATAATATGACAATTGTTTTTTAAAGTCTCATTTAAATTCTTTCATCATTTGGGTTGAATTTAGAAAAAAAAACTTTTTACTTAGATATCTTATGAAAATTCAACAATTTATGATTTTTCGTAAGATTTCATCATTGGATAATTGTCAAATATTTTTTCAAAATTTTTTAAGTTATATATTATTTTTTATTTTGGAAAGAACTACAACTATTTTTATTGAAATTTCATCTAAATTATTTCACCATTTAGGTCAAATTTAGAGAAAATTTCTCACCTAGAGATCTTTGAGAAAATTTATCATTTGAAATTTCTAAGAATCTTATCATTGGAATATTTGGTATTTCAATTCCAAAATTTATTAATTTTTTATTATTTTGTATTTTAAAAAAATTAAAAATAAAAATTAATGTTATTGAAATTTTAAACTAAAATTTTCTTCCATTTTGGATAAATTTAGAAAATTACTCACCTAGAAATTTTATAGAAATTAACCATTTGTAATTTCTAAAAAATTTCTTCATTGGATAATTATTTATTTAGTCTCAATTTTTCATTAAAATTTTATTATATATTTTTCTAACTATTTTCTCTAATTTTCCTACCATTTAATCATGCATAATATTTTAAAAATTAAAATAATAACATAAAATTAAAATAAATAAAACAAAAAAAAAACAAAAAACCAAAGTAAAAATGGCTCGGCTTGGCTAGAGTTAAGGCACGGTTGCAAAGTGATAAGCGGTTGAAGCGGCTAACTCTCTGGCTTGGCTCAGCTGAAGCCAATGACTGGAATGCGGGTCAAAGATGGGTCAAGCGCTTAAGTTAGACCTCTAGGTGATAAAACGCACAGATCTTATCAAAATAAAACTCCTAAAAATGGTGTTATTTACTGATACTATGTAAGCCCAATTTTTTTTCCTTCAAATCTTCACCATCCTTTTCTCTCTTTCTCTCTCTTTCTCTCTCAAAACCAATGAACGGTGGTCATCATGTTATGGAATTCCTAATCAGAATTTGGAAAACTCGCTAAAATTTGACTAGAAAATATAAATTTCATATTGGAATATGGAAAATTTCTAGATTTTAAGCTTTCATAATTTTCAAAACAAATCAAGCTTTTCTAAAAAACCTCTGGCAAAGCTTTTCTAAAAATTCTAAACTTCACTCTTTCTCTATTTTTGGCCTTTAATACCTCTATGTATTTTTCTCTGCTGATTTCTATGTTTATTTTTCTCTATTCATTTTTATGTTTATTATAACCAATTTATGACGAGAATCTAAGTCCAAATAGTGTTTTAACTAGGATTAAACTCTTTAAAAAGTCTATCTGATAGTTAGATTAGGATTGAATTTTAATTTTTAAAAAACCTTTTATCCAACCGAACAATCTTTCTTTAATAAAGTCTTTGCCTTTTGTTAAAAATTTTTTACTAAAAAAATAATTAAATAAAAATAAAATAAAACAAATTTTAACCCTTGGACAAAATGAGGTGTTTACAAGTGCTCTTTTTTGCGCATTTTCTATGAAACAAGAATTATGCAAAAAAATAGACATCCATTATGTATGGGTATAGCTTAACAATAATTACAAAATCTTGAAACTTCAAAGATTTACA